ATCGGTCGAAAAGGGAGTATGTTAAACTACGTCGAATTTAATTTACCGTTACATGAGATGTTTAGACGGTCAGCTCCAGCGCGAAGAAATCGGTCGAAAAGGGAGTATGTTAAACTACGTCGAATTTAACTTACCGTTACATTAGACGTTTAAATGGTCAGCTCGAGCGCGAAGAAAAATCAATCCCAGAATGCTTTGAGTATACAGCACATTGCTGTATTTGCAATGGATCGGTTTGAAAACACAAGTGTGCTGTAGATTTACAGCCTGGCTTCTGAGTTCTGTAAAAAGTGCAGTATTTTACTGTATTATGAAAATACAGTAAAATACTGTAGCTAAATTTACAGCAATTGGTTACAGTGTAGTTTTCGCCAACGTGCTATCAACCACACCAAAAAATCTGCGCCAGTCACGCTTTTGCGGCCCTTCAGTCTCGTGTGACCGTTAATCAGTCGCCTCATCTTTCCTTTCACGATCTCGTCTCCATCGGTTGTGATGGAGGCCACAGATCAATGCTAAACGACAACTTTTCTAACTCAAATGCAGCCCAGAAAAAATTGACTTGGTTGTGTAGTTAATAAAAATGCAATATTTATCTTATATTTATCTTAAACTGAAAGAGATTAATGCAACGTAATTATGGTAGGCCTAATTCCAAATAAAAATTCTGATGAGTTCCAATCATTTTTAGGACACCTGAATTGGTTTGCTGGTTTAAGGTTTTTTTTTCTCGTGATAATGACAATCAGTGGTGACTCATACATAAATAGCCTATCCATTTAATATCTCGCAGTACTTCGCCCCATTAAACAAATCCAGCGGATCCCAAAATTTCTCCTTGCTCATCCACAGCTACTCCATGCAACTATTATATACCACCCACCGACTGTGAGAAAAAGTATCCATCTAGTTCCCAAGCCGATAATTAATTGAATCAGGTGTGCAGAGGGTTAGTTATATTTAAACATGGTTTGTGGCCTTACTCTACAGCGAACTGGGTACTAAATACATATAGCAGAAAAAGGACGTGCGTATCACTGTTTGCATTCCCTGTCGCTTTAAATCGTTCAATTAATGTGCGCTATCACATAAACACCTGCGTTGGCCTTCATTAAATGACTACAGAGATAGTAATAATGATAATAAAGACTATAAGTTATAGGTAGACTAGCAGTAAGACTCCTTCCCTTAATCTTCTGCTTCAAGGAATTCCTTGATTAACATCGAACTCATTATAGAGACTAATATCCTAGCACTTCAGAGAATTGTTCTTTTTTTTTTTTTTACCGCATTAAGTGTTCAGAGGTTTCTTTGCTTAACCATAAACTTGATATGGGGTAAACTGCAGAACGAGTCATGACAGGTAAAATGCATAGAAGTAGGGGGTATTATTAATAAAATGTATAAATTGGTCGTGTTTACGCAGTGATTCACCCACGCGTCGTACTTACGCAGCCTACTAAAGAAGTCAGTGGTTGAGGAGGGGCAAACGAATTGAATATGAGTGCAAAGCACTTAGAGCAGATAAAAAGCCGGTTTGTCTGTGAGGGTTGGGTGTTTCAATCGCTTCTGCGCTATAGCAGGAATGTCTCACGTCTCCTCCAGATACAGGACCATGGAAAGCCCCAAGCTTTGGACCAAAGCCGTCGTTTGCGCCGCGCTGCTCTTCGGAGTCACCAGGGCTGAAACTAAGGATTCGGATAAGGAGCTGGACTTGGACGAGAGAGCTTTAACAGATTTCTACCCCAAAGACCCAAATCTGACCACCGAAAAGCAGCTTGTAAGTTATAATCCGTTATTGTAGTAATGTCCTGGATAACATTTCTACTCAAACATACACGTTGATTGTCAGTGTTCTGGATACATGCAATATGACTGATGATTGCCTACCTGATACAAAATTAATGAAGGCTTTGTGGGTCTGCTCCTGCACACCCGAGTACTTGACCTAAGTTCCAGTAAAACGTTTCCCTGAATATCTGTGTGACATTTGGATCAGCTATGGATAAAATAATAAAAATCCTAAAAATAACCACGAAAACATGAATATTTGTTCATCCGTTTGTGTGAATCTGTTTAAGTATTTTGTTATTTTAACAGCTTGGGGCTCTTCAAGAAGTCTTGGAAAAGCTACAGACTAAACGAATTCCATCATGGGAAAAGAAATTCGGTCAAGTTCCTACGGTAAATAAAACAATACCACGCCTTAGTATGCATTTTAACGATTCTAAAGCTGTTTGTCTTTCACAGTAACATTTTCACGAAGTACTTAACTTTTTTTTTTAAAGTGTATCTAAAGGAAACGTTCAGTCAGATTGAATCGCTTCAAGTAGAACGATGTGTATTAACACTTGCCGCTTATTTGTCTGTCTTTACCTAGTGCGACGTGGGGAGGCGGTGCGCGGTGAGAAAAGGATCCAGGATCGGCAAAATGTGCGACTGTCCGCGCGGGGCATTTTGCAACTTCTTCCTGCTGAAATGTTTATAATACCGAGTCTGCTGTGAAATTTATTTGAGTTTGGGGTCGAAGGCAAAACCCACTAAATAATAATAATAACGATAACAATAATACTAAATATTGTACATATTATTTGCATATTTTATAGAATTACTAAAGTTAATATAAAAAAATCACGGCTGCTGTTACTGATTTACTTTAAATAGGCATATTCGTCGTGTGCACAGTATTGTATTTTGTATTTGAAAGTGAGCATAAAGAATATTAAAACATGTGGTCCTGTTTTCTAGAGCAGCCTATGTCATCGCTGAATTCTTATTTGAGCAGAATGATATGTGACCCTCTCACCAAACCCCCAAGTTTAAAAGCCATGGTTCTGAGCCACTTTCACGTTACACATGCTGCCAACAAAGCGTGGAAGGAACAAGGCATGAGGAGAAGCTCTAAAGAAAATGCATTGGACGGACAGAAGAAATTAGTGAAATAATTCAAACCGATTTTTAGGCACATTAATCGCAGTAAGCAGTGAAATTAAAATGAGTCGTTCAGTTTTTAGACCTATCTTATGCGACTGTTTTAAACAGAACATGTTATGTTGTTCCATTTCGCTTCAAACAATGAACCAGAAATAGATGAATGGTGAATCGACTGAAATTATCGCCGGCGTAATTTATATATCAAATGTTAGGAGCGGCTCACGTTCAGTCTGCATTGACTTATTTATTCTTGCACTATGTGCGTATGTGTATATTAGACAGACAGACAGACACACACACACACACAGTCGTGTTTTTGGGGACCGCTCATTCATTTCTATGGGAAAAATGCTTATGCTAACTAGTAACTATATGACAACCTTAACCCCTACCCAACCCTAACCATAACCATAAGTAACCAAACAAAATACAAGAGCTTTTGCATTGCAGTCACAGATTTTTTATAAAATACAGTTTCCCAGGTAAAAAAACGGGTATTCATCACGTTGTGGGGACATTTGGTCCCCACAAGGTAAGGTATACCTGTACCACAGACACATACATCCACATAGACACATCATGGGCGTTGTTAGGTATTTTAGCCCCGATGCCAATCTTCCTTCAAAAAACAAGCCCCAGGTAAACCTGACTTAGCCCCGGATAATTTTCAATAAGTAAAAAAACCCCTGAGACACGCACATTTATATAGTGCAAGATTATATACATTTCGGTCTGAATTAACTTACTCTTCCACCACACACACACACACACACACACACACACATGCATATATGCACGTGCACAGACACACGTACTCACGGCCGGATCTAGAGGTGGCAGGGGTGGGCAATGCCAAATACCACCCAAATTTCCGCTCTGCCCACTCAGTTGGTCACCTTTAGCCTTATCCATCTGCATCTCCCAATCACGTTCATTTCATTCCTCCCATCAGGTATTCTTCTGCGGAGCTTTTGTAGCCGCCTGTGAAAGCTGTCAGCTTGTTTGCGGTTTGGTAATTATCTTTTAATGCTTTTTTCTCTTTAAGGAGCCTCCTCCCACTATATTACTGTTCATATTACATGTTTTGCTCTTACAGCCTTATATACCAGTTCATGAGTTTGAGTTCCAAAATTGCCTTTAATATGCCAGTAGATAAGCTTATGTTTATGTTTGGTTAGCAGACACTTCTGTCCAAAGCACCTCACAGAAATCACATAAAAATAACAATAATAATAATTATTTGTCTTTTGAGATGACCAGGAGAGCATAATGTGGAGTACATAAGTACTGTAGTTCAAATGGAAAATATGAAAATGCCCATGTGTGTCCCCCCCCCCCTTCTCTGCTCACAAGCTGCTACTGCACTGTAGTATGGCCTATTGTGTGAAAAAGCCTGTGCAGTCTAGATCCGGCCCAGCATATACTGTGTTTTACAAAGTCTACCTACACTGTATACCATGAAAAACTCCGTGCTTTATGAAATACTTAGTCTAAATAGAACTGTAGCCATATGAAATAAACATTTATTGCGAATACAGACATATTGAGTCTAGATTGGAAGGTGGATGTTTGAAATTTTCTTCCCAAATATTAAAAGTAATGCCTGCATTATTAATGCCAACACTGAGTTTCATCACAAGGTGCCTCACCAAGTATTTAAATTCAACTGATCATATAACTGAGCATCTTTTTATGCTTGTGGTTTACCTGCCTCCACAATGGGAGGGACCAACCCAAACCCTGTCGATCAAGCTCGCCAGCCACTGTGGGGTGTGCAGCAGGAGTAGGACAGTCACTAAAGAACCAGCCTGGTGTGACTGGAAGAAACATCCAACTCAGCTGCCCATCTGTCAGCATTCATTCTGCGTTTCTGTTTCCTTCAAAATACACAGCAGAAGTGCAAAGGCAGCCTTTCAGGATTGATGGCGGAATGAACACAGATGTGATGCTGACAGACGAAACGCAAACAGCTGTCCTGTAGGAGGCTACATTGTTCCAACGGAGGCTTCCTTCATACGCGCAAGGATTGGGGCCACTGTGGCAGCCGATGATCAAACAACAAAAATAAACAGTATTTCGCCACCTTTGACTGTGGCACACATAAACATAATTTTTCCTGGCTGTGATGTTTCGTTTTATCAAAAACATAAAGGAAACATGACCACAGTAGGAAAAGTCCAGAATGTATGAGGAAAAACAGCCACTTGGACAGCAAATGTGACCAAACACTTGGGAGAAAAATCACTGCTGGGAAATTTTCTTTATTTTCTTTTATTTGGTTCTTTCTAGTCGTTCACACAAAAATGTGACCTTCATGAAGCATATCAATTACTTAGATGCGATCACCCAACTTTCTAAGATGGAACCTTTTAACCCCAACTAAAACCAATTTCACCAAAGTGCCCTCCGTCCCCGGCACCTGTAGCATGACTCACGACCTGCGACAAATGAAGAGTCATGTTTTGTAAAAAGACAGGAAATCAGAATTCTCTCTGCCCATCTAAAAGTCAACTTTTGACTCAAATTTTTTCCATCAAAATGGGGAGAAAACATCCACTATACCGGCCTCAGCAATTATCAGTGTCTCTTCAAATAAACTTTAATAAAAAAAAAAAAAGCTATTTACCCCAAAACCAAAAATTTAATTAACGTCTGACACCTAAACTGCATAAGCTTACACTTTTCCAACAGGTTCAATCCCCTGAATTCAGATTTTAATGTTGCCAGTACTGCGGCCTCAACAGCTACTGGCTGTTAATACTCATTACATTAATCTAAGTTGCTGCTACTGCACATTCACCACTGGAATGTAAAACAGATGTGCACACATTTCCTTCTGAGTAGCAGCCAGCTCTTACACATAACCTTGTAATTCTTTAACCGTATGGGCTGCAAATGATACACTTACTAGCAATGCAATATATGCAATATATGCAGTTACAGCAGATCTTGACATCAGAAGGCTACAGGCGAGGAAGGATGTCTGCACATCTTCCAGCAACAAGTCTTTAATGCAAAGTAGACCTGAAAAACTGGAGTTGAGAAATTAACGAGGTACTTGAAAAACTTAACATAAATATCTACATTTACCACTAACAGGAACTCACCTGCCACTGCTGAGTTGGTTACAATAAAGCAAATGTGTTTTTTTTTTTCTTTTTAGTTATGTTGAACCTAAGAACTGAGAAATTAATCACCCCTAAAGCAACCCTGGACGATAATCAGAATAATCTTCACAACAGTCCTTGTGGCTCCTTCATTTGCTGAATGTACCACGGCTCCAGTCCATCATTCCATTATGTCTTCCACATGTGGGTAAGAACAAGAGAGCTTCACAAAGGCAGCCTTTGCTAGGAGAGCGTCCCTACCGGCTGCTCTGACTGGAAGGGGTAGTCCAACGCCGGGGGGAGACCCGAGTTCCGCGGCTGTTCGTCCAACAGCACCAAGTCTTCGACGTCCCGACCCCGAAACCTCCGCCGGCAGATTTTCACCGTCACCTTGCGGCCCTGGAACACCTTCAAGGCCTCCTTAGAGGCCATGGCCCTGGCGCTGCTCTCGTCACGGCCGTAGCCAGTACCCATGTAGACGGTCTGGCACCTCAGCTCGCAGACCTGGCCCTCCTTCTGCGTGCGGCTCACCGGCAAGTCGGGAATGTCCTTCAGCGGCACGAAGACGCAGCTCAGGCTGGCCTTGGACGACTCCACGCAGGCGCGCAGGATCTCAAAGTGGTCCAGGTTGGGTCCGAACCCACCGGCTGACACCAGCTTCCACGCCACGGCCTTGTAGAGGCGATTGAAGAAAGGCTGGTGCTCTGCCGGGGCCTGTGGTGGAAGGCCCGCTTTGGCTCCAGCCGCAGCTCCTGGTCGTGCACTGGCTCTCCCGCCAGCCCTGCTCTCGCTTTCATTAGCTGCTGGCTTGGGCTTCTTCGCTGAACTCTCTGCCTCGATCTCTGCCAATGGAATCACAGAGGCGATTGTAAGCCATCCTTAACACGCCCTATACAGTAAATAAACCAAGCGAAAGGACGGAGAACGAAACCTCAAAACATCAAAAACTTTAATACAAGATTCCAAAGAGCACAAATCAATGCTGAAAAAATAATAAACTACTAATATATCTACATATAACATGAAAAAATATTTGTAATTTTTATCCTCTGCCTTCTAGGTCTATCATTCTCAAAGCTGTTACTCAGCATAAGGGGTGGACAGAATTAAATTTCAAATAAACCACTATTATAATAAATACCCAAATTTAGCAAATCAAGAGGCTAAAGTTTTCCCAAACAAACTGCAAGCCTAACAGTCAAAATCAGCACTGAAAAGTATTTAGCCAAAGGCAGCCAATTTGTCTCTGCTCATGTAGTGAAATACTGTAGACAAACCACATTCTATTCATTCAGATCGGGCTGCTTCTATGCCATTCACTGCATGTTTGTAAAAAAAAACTAAATCATCTGCCAGCACGTTCCACGGTTCTTTAAAGAAATTGTTCTCATTCAGCACAAACACCAGACAGCCAGCAGGCTGCAGCGGACCCTGCCGGTACTGAGAAGCAGGAACCAACCTGCGAAGCATTTTAATGTGGATATAAGTAGCAATATCATCATTTGCAGCAATAGCCACACTTAAGCCTAGGGCTTACGTCACTTTTCCATGTGTCGTTACAGTCTGCTCGGCTATATGCAGGGACTCTTGTCTGCATACTATATTAGTCGATGACGCAGACTGTGGAGGTCAGCGCATGCATACTGCAATGATATTCCACCAGACCAGGAGAGGGTAGATGTATTGCAACAGACACAAAGAGAAGCAGTGTAGTGTAATGAGTAAACTTTTAGGAACGGCTTTAATGTTATTAGGGTTAATTACACCAAGGTATTCTGAAAACGGCCAGGACCGCCACACTCACCCACCCGCTTGGTAAATTTTGTCACTAAGATTTCAGAATGCCGGATTATCGTCGTATACTGCGGTAGAGTGTCTGGATGGTATGAAAAATCTGATCGCACCTCATCATAGGAACTATTCTTCTTCAACACTTTCTTCGTTGACCACTGCTGTGTGAAAGTCAGTGCTGCCACCTACTGGATTCACCTATTCAATTTCCTTGCACATTCACAGAAAGTGTGTATAATGTCAGACATAAAAATGTGGGCTGTGCACACACCGGCCGCCAGACACACAATGACAAAATGTACTCACCCTGCGTGCAGACCATAATGACACATGGAAAAATGAAGCATGAATAGGCATTTAAGAAATAGATCAGTTACAGATTGTTGGTTAGCAGAACAAAAAAAAAAAAAAAAAGGTACAATTTCTCACTATTGCTCAGCTTTCAGACAACTGTGTTCCCTGGTAACACTGTAAATATCTGAGTAACTGCAACTGCACTCAGAGCTAAATTCACAGCTGTGCTATTAGTCCAGACTGCTTGTCCAGGCCAGCTGAAAGGTGATTGTGCCACTGCTCGGCCCAAACTATATCTTCAGGAAACATCTAACACCATGGAATACGATATATAAATGTAACATCCATCCATCCATCCACAGAACCATAAAAAATTTACCTGATTACAAAAACACAAGCTAGTGGGGAAGAGCCAGTACAGGTGATGCCTATGTACTCCAGAGCAGGGGTTCAAAATCCCTGGCCTGGGGGGGCTGGCCAAGTTCCAAAAATAAACTTGACAAGTTTTACCCCCAGCACCTGTCAGTTCTACCATTCCATGAAATGAATAAGTGATGTATGTCAATCAGCGGTCATCAAAAGGTTGGGAACCACTATCCTGGAAGACTGTTTTAAAATCCCCCCCCAGACAACATTCATAAGAAATGGACAAATCATGAATTACATATTAACCTAATGCTAATTCCTTGAGAATCAATTATTAAGCTATTACTACAGCACTGCTTATTAATATTATTTATCTGAGTTGCATTCTGTATAGTAAACATGCAGGCTCACATGGGAAGGGCCCTAACACAATGCAGACACCGCCCAGCCATACCGCACATCGCAGGTCTCTTCCCTTTCCCCATTATTTCATCCCTGGTTTTCTTGACGGGAACATCCCGGACCACAATCCCCTCAGCCATCTCCGTTATCTTCTTCATTATGGTTTGAGAATAACTGCAAATAAAATATCAGGACACACTTTTTTTCACTCCTGTTCTCTTTATAAATTATACAGTATGGCAGAGCTGGAGATAAATCCATACAAGTGCTGGAACTCTCCCAATTGCTGTTTCACACGTTTTTTAAACATCTAAATCAGTGTTTGTGTGTGTGTGCGTGCAGAAGATGTGCCTGCTTCATGTCGTGTTCTGCCTGGGATCCAGGCCCCGTTTCTGTATGTTGGTCCGTAATTATCCTTGTTCATTGGCCATCAGATTATCATAACAACTAATCCAAAGCAAGGTGAGGGTGAGATTGAAGCTTATCCCAGAGGCATAGGACACAAGGCAGGGATTACACACTGGCTGAGATGCAAGTAAATCACATATCCACACGCAGCAATTTGCATAAACCAGTTCAGTTACATCGCATATCCCAGAGAACCAGGAAGACACCCACATAAATCCCATACACACAGAAACAAGGTGGGAAATGAAGCAGCGACCTTGGAGGTGTGTTAAAGCAATAAATTATTGTAACTGACTTGCCCAAATCCAATTAAACAAATTAAATGTCTGGTGATCAGTGAAATAAACAGACGTCTTTCAAGCTGGACTAAGAATATCAACAAAAAGAGCAGATGTGACACCCATTTTGGAAGGGCTGCATCACTCACATGCACCCGAGAAATATGTGGTTAGCCCAGACCATGGAAAGTGACAGGAGTCTATCAAGACTGGGACTAGCAACACCAGGCTGGACAGTGGGGAAGGACTCCATATTTCTCAGGATAAACTCTCGTCGGGCCCGCCACTGCTTGTTGGTCTCACACTGGCTCTGGAGGGACTCTACCCAGCTGGCCAGGTGAGGGTTCTGTCCCAGAAACTCGGACACCACATCTTCGCCTTGCCTCTCCTCTGCCATCACTGTGAACACAGCACATTTCACATTACAGAAATGATTAACTTTTCAAACGTGTCTGGCTAAGTACGAAGAGCCTTGAAATTTCCCATGTACCCCCTGAAGTTTTAAAAATCTTTTAGCTGCGTGGACATTTAACTGCGTGCAAAACGCGTCTCTACAGTTATTTAAAAGCATCCCCCCAATTAGTATTTTGTAAAACGTACGGACGACATAACCGCACAGCTTTTTTTTACGTTATAATTTTCACTTGGTGCGAAATTGCACATCCAGCCGCGAATTCAAAGTTCACATGTTGCAAAGCTGCCTGGCCCATAACAAATTATGCATATGCTTTTAAAACTCCGTCCCCTACCGGCCGCGAATAAAACATATATTTTAGAGTCATTTAGAGTTCGAGGTCGACGTGCTAATCGGTTTCTTCTAATTATTTCGATGCTAAATAATGAAGCATGTTTGATACTGACTGGCATTTAGGCCCGCGCCACGCTTCAACCCTCTTGGGGATCGCCAAATAAAAAATATATTTCTAGTAAACATGTAATGTATAACGTTAAATTAAATAAAACAATAAGGAAGCAAGTTAGCTAGTTAGCCGCAAACTTCGCTCACCAACGACCAGTCCGAAACGCCTTAGCTTAGCCCACAGCCCAAAAGGCTGACCTACGAATTTCAAGTTGACATTTCCTTTTAGCGGTGCAGCGAGGAGTCCAGCTCACGGAAGCAGATTCATTTGGCTAGCACTAGGACTAGGGCAGCTAGCCGGCATAAACAAAACTAGCAGGGCAACCGTAACTAGCAGCGAGCAAACATCCAGCAACACACCTTGCGTGTTATTCTATATACGTACTTGACCGTACTCGCGTTCGCGTGTACCCGTTTACGTCATCTTCCATTGCCAAACACTAGTTCCAATACTCAAGAACAGAAGTACAGAGAACGGTAAAAAAAAATAAAAAATAAAAAATCCCCGGATGTTGGCCTTGCTCCGCCCCAAATATCAAGGATACATCGGTTGCATCCTTACCGAACGAGAACAATCCCATGATTCACTGCGGCCCAAGTTCGTTCTAGGCATGTTGGCGACCATCACAAGTGTGAGCTTTGCGTTCTTGGCATTGAGAAGCACTAATAGACTCTCAATGGCAATACTACATTAACCAAGATGCCCTGCAAAGCGGCCCAATCAATTTGAACTTAAAAGCCAAACTAGCATTCGATAATAAACATGTCATAAGCGGTTACTTTTTCAAATGCTTAAAAAATGAAGACATGAAGAATTATATTTAGGGTTGTACACAAAAAATACTATGCAACGAGTCATCGTTTACGTCTCATAGCTATTAAACGTCAAAGGCGGAAAAACTACACGTACCAAAATTCAGCGGCCTGATGTCATGGGCGAAATATGATGACGCAAGTAGGAATCGGCGGCACTGCGAACAACTAGCTAATCACAAATGATAGAAACAATCGTTTTGTTGTAAGGTCCTATGTTTCTGTAAAGAGTTGCAATCGCGATGATTCATGAGCTTTTGCTGGCTTTGAGTGGGTACCCTGGGACAATTTTCACGTGGAATAAACGGACCGGTTTACAGGTGAATCTGATGCGCTTTACTTAGAAAACATCTCTGATGGATTCTGTGTTACTGCTTTCATCTGCATTACCAATTATAGTAATAGAACACATCACTTGAACCAGATGACGATATCGTAACAGTAGTTTCTCTTGATGGATACCACTTCATGAGGGAACATAATAGATACATTCATGCGTTGCTTGCGACTACACTGCTATAGTTGCATGCGAAACACTTAGTGTATTTTTGCACACAAGCTGAATGGCGTTTTTTTTGTTACTTTTCTCCAAAGGTTTCTCAAGACCTGCCGTTTCTCCATCCCAGTGAGACGAGCGTCCTGAACCGGTTATGCAAACTAGGTTCCGACTACATTCGTTTTACGGAGTTCATTGAGCAACACACCGGCCATGTACACCAGCAGGTGAGATTTTTGAAAACCCCATTATATAAAATGTGAAGTTGGTACACTTCCCTAGTAGTCATCCCTGGACGTTTATCACCGAACTACTGGTAATTTTAGTTGGCATTTGATCATGGTTTAGTCAGTGAGAGTATGCAGAGTAATGTGATCGTCCTTAATCCGTATACTACTTAACTGTGGCACAGGAGCACCACCCCAATCAACCCTGTCAGGCTGGGCTTCATGGGGTCTACCTCCGCGCTTTCTGCACAGGACTGGACTCCATGTTGCAGCCTTATCGACAGGCTCTACTCGATCTAGAGCAGGAGGTAGGAAGTAACCCATATATACAGTATATACAGACCATTATCCATAAAAGCTGTACTTGTTAGTTACAACATCCCACACTTAGCAGAAAATGTAGATTTTAATGGGAATATGCAGTATAATTCTGATATTTTAAAATTCTTTTCAGTTCCTAGCCGATCCACATCTTTCCATATCACATGTGAATTACATGCTGGATCAGGTAAATGCATGTGACGTCTTTTTAATATATGTGACCTTGTATGTTTTATATGACCAGTACTAAAATGTGGCGCAATGCATGCAGACATGGTCTTCCTGTTGCCCTTCAGTTTCAGCTCCTCTTCCCCTCTGTCATGGTGGTGGTGGAGACGATCAAATCTCAAAAGGTATGACCTTCACAACGAGAATCTATATCCTGTGCCATTAGCTAATTGTAAGGGTGAGGGAAGGTTATGATGAATTAAACTGACAAGTAAATCATGGTCTCCCCTATACTTGTGGATTAGGTTCATGGGTGCCAGATTCTGGAGACTGTTTACAAGCACAGCTGCGGAGGACTGCCCCCTGTCCGCATGGCTTTGGAGAAGTAAGTGAACGTCCACGATGTGGCCAAAAAGCACCAGAAAACATGGATGTTTCCGCAATGCAACAAGTATGGAAACGAACTATTTGTGCAGGCATTTTTCCCCCAAAGAGTCACCCAGCTGGTTACATTTCAGGATCCTGGCGGTTTGTCACGGAGTGATGTACAAGCAGCTGGCCGCCTGGATGCTGCACGGACTGCTGCTGGACAAGAGCGAAGAATTTTTTGTCAAGCAAGGTCCCAGTGCAGGGGGGGGTGGCCAAGCCCAGGAAGAGGAGGAGGAAGACCTGGGGATTGGTGGACTCAGCGGGAAACAGCTCAGGGAGCTGCAGGATCTGGTACGAGAGTGGTGGCGTTCGGGCGTGAAAAGGCGAAACAAGGGGCTGTTCAGTGGAGGTGTCAATTAGTGAGATCTTTCGGTATCATCAAGAAGGCTTGCTCGATGCTGAATTTCCCTCAGAACAATGACTAGTGGTTGTTTTTCATTGTTTTGGAAATAAGTCATTTTCCTGGACAAACCAGTTTTGCTCCTCTCCCATTTTGACCGATGCAGCGACTCATTGAGGAGGAGAACATGCTGGCACCATCGCTTCAGCAGTTCTCCCTCCGTACTGAGATGCTGCCTTCCTACATCCCCGTGCGCGTGGCCGAGAAGATCCTCTTTGTTGGCGAGTCCGTCCAGATGTTCGAGAACCACACCCAAAACCCTCCCCGTGCCGGTGAGAGAGCCAGCGGTCATACCTGTACCGTGACCAGAGATTTTGACCTTTTTCATTTGCCATGTAACATTGCTTCTGACCATTCCTCCAGGCTCCATCCTGAAGCACCAGGAGGACACGTTTGCTGCAGAACTTCACCGACTGAAACAGCAGCCACTCTTCAGCCTGGTAGACTTCGAGAACCTCATTGATGGCATTCGCAGTACTGTGGCAGAGGTATGGCTATAATTAATATGGCTGATTTTTGGAATTGGTGGAATTAGAAGTATTAAAGAACCAGTTTTACAAATAAATCCCTCTTTCTGCACAGCATCTTTGGACATTGATGGTTGAGGAATCTGATCTTCTGGGACAGCTGAAGGTCAGTGGGTGGGTCTGGCACCAGACTGCAGTTCTACTTAATCCATTAAACTGCCATCTTGTTTGACACTGGGGTGGCTCGTTTTGTCCTTCAAGATCATCAAAGACTTTTATCTCCTTGGAAGAGGTGAGCTCTTCCAGGCGTTCATTGATCATGCCCAGCACATGCTGAAGACTCCTCCCACAGCGGTCACAGAGCATGGTACGGCATTGGGACATACATACCAGAACCCTCAGAAAAGATCTCAGCAAGTGGTTGTTTCATTCAGATTTCTTTGCTTTTTTGTAGACGTTAATGTGGCCTTCCAGCAAGCAGCTCATAAGGTCTTGCTGGATGACGACAACCTGTTGCCCCTCTTACACCTCACCATTGACTACCAAGGGAAAGAGACCAAAGGTATCGAATCCCTTTCAGCTGTTACGTGCCAGTAGCAGCTGAAGGGTGTCAATGTCATCAACAATCTCTTTACTCTGTCAGAGGCTGCAGGTAATCGTGAAGGAGCTACTCCTCCACAAGACATCTCTCCTCGAGAGCTTCCATCTACTGGCTGGGCGGCGTTGGGCTTGGCCTACAAGGTGCAGTGGCCCTTACACATCCTGTTCACCCCCGCTGTACTGGAGAAGTGAGTTCTTTGATGTGCTCTGGCAAACAGGTTGTCCTTGATCGTAGCCGTATTTCATGCACTCTTAATTCCAGTGGCCTACCTCTGAGAAACTCATCACTGTTCCCCAGGTACAACGTGGTGTTTCGCTACCTGCTAAGTGTGCGCAGAGTCCAGTCAGAACTGCAGCACTGCTGGGCTCTCCAGATGCAGAGGAAACACCTGAAGTCCAACCAGACCGACGCTGTCAAGTGGAGACTCCGCAACCACATGGCCTTCTTGGTGGACAATCTACAATATTATCTCCAGGTAGATATGAGGAGTATCTAGCACTTTCTTCTGGATAGTACCATTAGCTTAGTAATTATATCCTGAGCAGCACCAGTTTGGTTCACCATAAATTACCCTTCCAGAAAACTATGGTATATAAACTCAAAGGGACCATAGTGCCTGATACCAAGATAAAAATTGAGTGTAAACCACTGAAGGTTTTGACAGATCTGCTTATGTAAGTGGCTTATAGGTAGATTATGCTGAAAATTCAGCTTCACCGTTCCACTACTTCCCCACAGGTGGACGTGCTCGAATCACAGTTCTCTCAGCTCTTGCAACAGATCAACTCCACCAGGGATTTTGAGAGCATCAGGCTGGCTCACGATCACTTTCTCAGCAACCTGCTGGCTCAGTCCTTCATCCTGCTCAAACCTGTACGTGGACCTAAAACAGGAATCGGTGTCACAGTAACATACAAGCTTAAGTGAGGGAGCTTTGTACGTCCAGCTAGCTGAAGCTCGGTTGTTTTCTCGTCAGGTGTTTCACTGCTTGAATGAGATCCTGGATTTGTGCCACAACTTCTGCTCGCTGGTCAGTCAGAACCTGGGCCCGTTGGATGACAGGGGCACCGCACAGTTGGACATCTTAGTCAAGGTGAGATTACCACTGAATGCTGTAATGTTGGTAAAGGCAATTAGAGTCCGACCTCCAAACACTCATCGCCATGCATGTTCTTAATCATCCTAGGGATTCAGCAGACAGTCCTTCCTGCTGTTTAAGATCTTATCCAGTGTGCGCAACCATCAGATTAACTCCGATCTGGCACAGCTACTGCTGAGGCTGGACTACAACAAGTACTATACCCAGTCAGGGGGCACGCTGGGCAGGTAGGGGTGTTTCTGATTGCCATGGGGGGGTGGAGGGGGGAAGGGACACCACTGTGCTAATGCCATATCGTTCTTCTGCAGCTTTGGATTATGAAGCGCCACGTGACGACCTGCCACCGCATCCATGCCGGACCAGTATTTGTGCTTTCTTGGCGTCATGTGACTGAAAGATGAGACAGTCGGTGGTCGCAACAGAGTGTAAGAGTGGCATCCAGTTATTCACTGCAGCTGATGTGTATAAATTGTAAATAGGCGGTAAAGACTGTAAAGAACGCTCTGGAGACTGAATAAAAACAAAGTGAAACAATCACAATTTATTTTTCCATAAAAACGTCAGAATTAAAACTATGTACATAAAACGCATGCACTAGACCTAAGAATACTTGAGAAGCGCTGGTCTGGGATCAGCTGCAGTTCAGGGCGAATAGTCATACTGGTACCGGGGTTGGGCTCGATGGTCCTGCTTCTCGCCACAGATCAGGCTCTGAATCAGCCACTCTGGGGAGAGCAGGGGAAGGTCCACAGAGACGGCCCAGTTCTGCACAGAGGGCGGACAGGAGCGGTCCGCCAGAACCACGTTGAACGTACCCTCAGGGGGGTCTGCGCATGAACACATCAACGGAAGGAAATTCTCACCATGACATTTTACAGGAACTTTATTAAGGCATTTGTTCAGCTAAGACCAGAGTGAACAACACTGCATTTTTTTCCCCCACTAAAGATTTAATAGAGAGAGAGAGAGACCTCCCACCCACCTGAATTGTTACTATCCCCCTGATACTGGCATACAGAGGAGGCTCCCCCCATGTTGAGTAGGTCGGTCAGGAAGGCTGTGGCCTCTTCAGAAATCAGCAGAAACTTCATGGACTTGAAAGGATTCCGGCGAGAGTGCCTGGAGGAACAGACCCCCACGTCACCGCATTCAGGGCCAGCAGCATCACACCCCCGTTTTAAACAATTTATTCCTTTATTTACAGAACTGTGGGGAGGGGGGGGGGGACAAATAGGTTCCTCTGCGATGTCAAAGGTCAGTCAAACTCAGGGCTCCCCCCGCAGTCCGATTCAGGCGTTCAGACTCACCACTCCACCAGGCTGCCGTCCGGATCCATCCCAGCAGGCAGCAGGTAGCTCCGGTAGTTGAGCAGCTGGTTGTCATGGCAGCAGTCCCGCACCCACATGTGGGATACACAGGGCATGCCGCTCGCCAAACACAGCAGATACTTCCGTGTGCGGCAGTGCTGGTCCGCGATGAGGATGCTCTGATAGGCCGCGCTACACTGGGGGTGCGACGGTGGGCAGTCAGCCTTCCCATAATCCCTTGCGGACTGGAGTTCAGCATAAGAGGAGGGCCCTGGGTGCTCACCTGCTGTTCGTTGAAGTCCTGGAGAATGTACCCCCCTCCTGCTTCAAGCTGGGTCTCTGTGTACCGTTTGTTGTAGGGAGCCGTCTGCACGTATTCTAATGGCAAAACGGGGGCAGTTTCAAACAAACATCATGGTGATGCTGGGAGGTTACATAGTGTGGATGGACGACAACAGAAGCTGGAGTTCAGCTAGTTCACGATCAGCATCCGGACAGTAAATCCGGCAGAGGTAGGATGCAAGCGTAGCGTGACGTCGAAGGCCGTCTCACCCTCTTCCGCGTCGCTCGTCGGCTGGTTGGCTTCACGGTCCATCTCCGAAGAAGCAGTCAGTAGGAACGCGTAGCCCAAGAAGAGCGAGGCACTCTGGGGAATGGGCCCGTGGGTCCCCTCGAGGTCACTGGGGTCAGAGGGCAGGTCGGTGCCGCTGCCCGAGGTGTTGAACGCGCCTCCACGCTGGCCTGTGCCAGAAAGATGGTGGGCAGTGAGGGGCGGAGCCTGATTTCAAGATGAGGCCACACCCACTTTCACCCACAGTGAGTTTCAGCTACTTGGTGCCCACTCAGACTTCATCGGGGTGACGAAAACTGTATCCCGCTTCCTCCCGGGTATCGTACGCTCCCACACCACCGTGAAAATGGAGCGGCAGACATACCGGACAAGCAGTGGGGGCGGAGCTTCAGTTCAAAGGCAACATCCAAATAAAAACAAAGGGTTCAACACAATTTACTAACAGCCTCCAACAGGAAGACATGTCCCACAGGTGACTGTAAATGAGGGACACATGATGATGCTTGACGTCTGCAGATGTCTGCATCTTCATTCATTACAACATCAGAGACTCAAGTCAAACCAAACATTTATTTAAAATGCAGTAACAAGTAAAATTCAAATATTCCATAATGCCATACAAAAGGGCATTTTAAAAATCTAAAAGTACGTAATCATAAAAGAATATGAAATATGTGACGGATTTAAAAAAAAAAAAAGAGAAAAGCTTAAAATGTTAAAATGCACATTGATCCTCAACGTCGATGTTCGTCACGAAGCAGAAAGCGTCTCTGCTGGGTGCGGATGAGCGCCGCCCTCTTGGTGGGCCGGGGATCCCGTACCCGCTCTGGCCCCTGTGGACCTACGGCCTCGCTTGGAGGGGGTCCTTTCCTCCTCCGTGGAGGCCATCAGCTTCCTCTTCCCTGAGGGGCCCGGGGTTCTGGGACTGTCGCTGGAGCTCCGGCCGGGGCTGGTATTGACCCCCACGTTTCCTCGCCGCTTCCGTTTGCCCTCCACCAAATTATCTGCGACCGAAGCACAGAATCCATAGGATTGTTATTATTGCACATGTTTTGTTGCTTAGCAAACATGGAGGCTGCAGGAAGGATGACAAGCTTCTACCGCAGAGGCCCCAGCCTTCCTGGATGGCGTTCTCACCCAGGCTGATGTCGGAAGCCTTGGTGAGGGGCGTGGTCGGCTCACAGGGGCCCAGGCCGTACTGATCTCTCAGCCGGTTGCCCTGCTCCATGGACAGGATGACGGCCATCCGCCCGTACCATCTCTGCTGGCCGTCCTTCTCTACGCTGTAGAAGAAATCGGAGCCTTCCGTCTTGTGACCTCTCACGACACCTGGGGGGGTCAGCGAGGGACATAAGGGAAATCAAACTGAGGGCAGCGAGAATTCATTCTACGGTCTCGTCCCCGTGACCTCCGCACCGAGCTACCTGTGCTGAAGTACTCGTCGTCGGAGATGGCCGTGACCTCCGTCCCCGGGGGGATGGGGTCACACAGCAGGATGTCCTTCCCCGGCACGTCGCACTCGTACCGGTCGTCGAAGAGCAGGCGGAAGCGGCCGGCTCCAGAGTCGCGCGTGATGCAGCCCGAGTAGAAGTAGCCATTGGACGACCACTTGGCCACGACGCGGAGCCCAACGAAGCTGCTGGAACTGGCACAGCCCGCGCCGTCCGACAGGGTGCCTGGGGAGTCTGGGACGCCGGGACTGTCCTCTGTGCGGCTGTGTACCTGTGCGTAAGACTCGTCCTCTGGGGAGGAAGTGAGGGCGGAGCCTTGCGCGTCATCCTTGGTCAGATTCCCAGCAGCCCTGAGGGGGGCAAGGGTCAGATCAGTAATAATCAAGGTCGGAGATCCTCAGAGGGAGAAAGAGAAAGTGGGAAACTAAAAAGCCCAGAGTGTGCCCCCTGCAGGCAGGGTGATGTCACCTCACCTCCTGAGGGCCCCTCGGGAGGGAGGCCTGCCCCGACGGCCCCTTCCACGGGGCGTTAACGGGGTGTGGGGTCGAGGGCCCTGGGCCCGCCCTCTACCTTCTATCAACTCCGAGGCTCCTGGCCCCCAGGGTGCCCCCTGTTGGCCACTCATTTTCCGAGGGCTGGGGAAGGACAGACACTCTTTGAGACACCCCACATACGAAATTGGGATTCAATGAAGTTTGACCTAGTGATGATCAAGTCCGTTACGCTAATGGGGGTGGAGGTCATGCTGTATAGAGTGATTCTGGCAGGACCCCACCTGAGGGATTTGGCCCCTCGGCCCATGGGCACAACGAAGTCGGCCTGCCTGCCAGGGCCCGCCCCCCCGCTGCTAGTTCCGCTGGAGCTGTGCTGCAGGCTTGATGCCTTGGAGGACAGGGAGCTCACGTCGGCCAGATCGCCAGAGGTCATCGAGCTGCCAGTGCGTGACGGAGACACGTCATTCTCCACCACGCGGCAGTCCACCAGAGGCTCCTCGGTCTCCTGAGGACACACCCGGGGTAAGAGGGGACGAGGCGGGGTCACGCGCACCGATTAGCCACACAGCTAGCAGAGATTTTGGGGATCCTCACTTTCAAATTGGCGTGAGGGTGGACATTCTCGGACCTCACCTCTGTGACCTTGCGATCCACCTCCTGGCCATTTTCGTAGTACACGTCTGTGATGATGCGCGTGACTGTGGTGCGGACCTCGCGGATGGTGCGTATGTGCCTGCGGACCGCCTGCCCGTGGGAGGGCCTGGGGGGGGTCTCTGGCTCGCCCTGTCCGCCCACATGAAACGCACGCCCCCATCAAACAGGTGAGCGCCGGCTCTTAGTCCCGCCCCCAAAACAAGCCAACTGGATGGGTTCGCGTCACTCACCTGCGCGGTCGGGAACTGGGGCTCCAGGGTCTCAAAGCTGGTCTGCTGGGACACAGCTCTCTGGCGAAGCTGGAACAGGGGAGAGGGGAGTTCAGTCGGTGCGTAACCTGAAGTCCCCTCACACCCGAGTCCTCCACCGTCCAAGGCCCTTACTCTGCTGGGCAGCCCAGGTGAGGCGTCAAAGCTGGTCTGCTGGGACACGGCTCTCCGCCCCGGCGGTGTTCTACTGGTCTCCACGCCGGGTGCCTCACCCTCTTCGGGCCTGCGTGGGCTAGCCGGTCCCCCGGCGCCCCTGGGCGTGCCGGGAGGTTCCTCTTCCCGGACCTCGCCACCGGCCGCTTCCGTTGGCCTTGGCCCATCCTGCTGGGAGCGGGGGGACCGGTCCCCCGGCCGGCTGGGCTCTGGGACGGCGCCGCACCTGGGCAAACTCTTGGGTTTCTGAGCGAGGAGACCCGGGACGTCCCGCTCCGAGTCGCCCGTCTGGGAGAGCGGCGAGTTAAACAGGTCCCCCCTGCCAGAAAACGGGCGGCTTGTCAGGACAACGCACTGCCGACCGCAAGCTGAAGGACACGCCAGCAGTGACCTTGGAGCGACCTTGCCCTGACTTTGCGGCACGCCGCCATCTTCTCAGCTGAGGCAGCCCCAGGAGCTGCATTGTGTGCTCCATCCATCCCTCGGAATTAGGTCAAACAAGAGCTACCCACCACCACTGGTGAGGGCAGAGCCCCTCCAGAACCTACTTAGAGCCTTCTAAAGATATGGTACCCCGCGGGGGTGTCTAAAATGATATATATTTATACACACACAGACACATACAGCCGCCACTAGCAAGGTTACAGCAGCAGAGGGAGACTGAAATCAGAAGGACAACAATCCTGACATCCTTAAATTATAAGGTCTCCACCTGGCAAAATCAGGTCAAGTTGTTTTCGTGTGGTATTTTTATGGATATATTGTACATTTTTCTTTATTGCTTTAGGTTACAGGTGCTGCATTTACTCCTTTTGTTCTCTTCATTTTGCTGCTGTGACAATGCAAATTTCCCAACTGTGAGATTAATAAAGATGATCTTATCTTATCTGATATACAGGCATACAGTGGTACAAAAATAGCACTGACCCACCACCAGGATGCGATATACAGACACAAGGGTGTATATACATAGTGCAATGTGAATGCAAACAGATACAGCAGCATAAAAAATATAGTGGAAAATATAGTGGAACTGAATAACTAGGTAAATGATACACTGAAGCAGCTGTCCTCCAGAATTAAGTAATCTAAAAACTGCTTTGGTTTAAGGGATTATAAACCATTAAGGCTACATTCCTCAGGAACTTAAGGTCAACAATAAAATCTTTACTTTGATTTTTTAAAAAGTAATAATTTCTGAATTAGGTTTAAATATGAATGACCAGCAGGGGTCGCTGCAGTGCAGATAAAACAATGCAGAGTCATTCTGTGACTGGCAGCTGGGAGCATGCAGGCTGATTGGCGTGCAGTCCTGCTAGGATTTACCTGGTGGGAGTGCCGGGCTCACTGGGAGGGGCTTCTGCCTGCCTCCGCACCTCACAAACCCGGCTGAACACCGACGGGCTGGGCAGGGAGCTGCAACAGAGACATCGGGGGTCACCGAAAAACATCCCGCATGGAAATGCCCCTCATTGAGCAAAAGCCTTCTGGGAAACGATTTTAAGCGTATCGATTGCGGTCATTTTCCAGGGAACGGCCCTCTCTCCAGACTGACAAACGACATCAGACTTGAAAAATGACTCGTCACCCTGGAAACAAGGAGTCCGAGCGTGAACGTCCTCCCAGCTGCCGTGATTCAGCAGCCACACTGAGCGGCCACACGGAAACGAGACCCTATATAAATAAGCAGACTAGCATAGCAACTGCTGTGCGTTACCTGGTTACGGCCTTGACAACGGTGGTAACCTTGGAAACGGAGACTTCGCTGTCTGATAGTGCTGGTTCTGAGGGGAAAACAATGAAAACAAGCAGTTTTACCAAATTATATCAAGTGTAGAGTACTTAACAAGCAGTGTTTCAGGTGGAAAAAGAAAAAGAAGCTGGTGTTTCTGTGGGTTTTCGCAGGGAGGGCCCGTTCTTACTCTGCAGGCTGAAACGCTCGGACCCAGAGCTCGTCTCCTCCACCGGGGTCACCAGCTTCATCCTCAAACTCAGCTTGCCATTATGCTCCGATTCACCCAAGTTTGATTCGTTTTTGCCATCCTCTCCGCTCTCCTCCACCATAATCTCACTGGCTGCCATGGCGACCTCCGCAGTGACATCGCCCGGCAACCGCTCAGAAAAGGGGCTCATATCTGAACAAGAAGTGAGGTCAAAAGAAAATTTTAGAAGGGGCTTGGGGGGGGGGGCGGGTAGGAGTACACAGCAGCGGGTGGTGGGGGAGGGCCTACCGATAGGCGTGCTGTGGCGGGGGGTCTGCTTCAGCAGGCTGATCAATGGAGGGGTCGCCGTGGTTACCGGGCGAATTAACTCCCCCTCTTTGGGTAGAGTGAAGTGAAACGGGATTTCTGAGGGAAGATAAACAGGAGAGACCTTAAAGCCGGAACCGCTCTGTACGCATGGCTTTGCCGGGTCTCTGCCGATGACGTACCTCCGGAGGTGTCACTCGGGGTCCCGCTGCCGGAGACCTGTGTCACCCCCCCGTCGGCCATCACGCCTTGCGTTGCCGCCTTTCTGGGCCCTGAGCTTTCTGGCCCATCCATGCCGTTCGTGGTGGATACCGGCTTCTTCTCCGCCACGTTTTCCGGCAGCCTGGTTTCCTGGGGGCTCCGGCTCTCGGACGGGGGACGGCCTTCATCTGACCGCGACGCCGTGACCGCGTTATTCTGCTGTGACTCATCGGCAACCTCCGCCGCGACCTCGCTGCTGCCATGACACCCCCCTTCCCCCGCGGAGGTCGAGGCCTCCATGGGGGCGGCCTGCTCCTCACACTCAAGGTGGCCATCCTCCTCCATGGGTTCAGGGGAAAGCACCTGGCTCTGGGACAGAGCCAGACAGAGGCCGGAGCCTTTGGCCACCTCCCCCTCATCCATGCCCTCGTCATGCTCAGGACGGCTGGCCTCAGACCCCAACTCCTCACAGGCCTCCGAACTCCTCGGCTGAACCTCCATCACCACGTCTTCCTCCTTCTCTTCCCGGGGTCGCTCGCTTGGGAGCACGGACTGTGACTGCGTCCCGGTGTCCGACCCGCAGTCCCTGTGCGCAGCCACCGGGGGGCTCTGCACTGGAGCCTCACTCTCTGTCAGGTCCACAACTTCTGCTTCCTGCGACGACGCGGCGCCATTCTGCGAGCAGACCATGTCTTGAGCCTGCGAATCAGCGGCTGTCGTCAAGTCGATGGTTTCCGTGACGACCTTGGCGTCGGGCCCGTTGGCCTCCGAGGGTGACTCCCCTGCGCGGTCGTCTGTGGATCTCCTCGTTTCCTTGCCGTCGGGCCTGTTGGCCTCCGAGGGTGACTCCCGTGCGCGGCCGTCCGTGGATCTCCTCGTTTCGTTGCCGTCGGGCCTGTTGGCCTCCGAGGGTGACTCCCGTGCGCGGCCGTCCGTGGATCTCCTCGTTTCGTTGCCGTCGGGCCTGTTGGCCTCCGAGGGTGGCTCCCGTGCGCGGTCGTCCGTGGATCTCCTCGTTTCGTTGCCGTCGGGCCTGTTGGCCTCCGAGGGTGGCTCCCGTGC